ATTCGTCGCTTGCGTAACTTGTTCTCAGTCTATTTGATAACATACGCAAAGTATTGGCACAATTTCTTCCCGACGGTTCAATGGACGAACGAAATTAGCAGACCTATGAACTATAATACAGCACCTAACTTTACTGGCAAAGTGTGTCGTCGAATCATTGTTAAAATAAAAAATTTTCGACATATTGTGCGAAATACCTGGAGGATGTGATAAAAATGTAACAAAAAATTATCTATTCATAAGCAATTTAGCTTACTTTTTTAAATCTAAAATTTTTTTAAAATCTAAAATTGATCCCCACTAATTACATGGAGTGTATTTTAGACTATTCGAGAAAGCATTGTCAGGGATTCTAGGCTGCAGGCGGTGCTATAGGTGATGCAGACGATGATGCAGGCGTAGTGCTGAAAGAGGCTTTGGTGGAGGCTTACGCAGTACAAACATAGACATATAAAGACCGTACTGTATATTTAGATTACATTATAAAATTATTCAAACTTGGCAAATTATATAATGATAATGACAAAAATACTTAAAATATGATGCGTAAATCGTAAGTGCTAATAACAATAAAATTCATTTCGTCGGCGAATAGATGTTCCCTATTATGCACTTATATTTGTTTTAAGTATTAACATAAAAATTAATTATAATAATATAAATTGTTAAAATTTATTTTTGTACCAAAAATATGACCGTAATAGGCATTTAAATTTCTACACGGAGAGAATTTTTTCTTAGAATTTACCCTGAAAATATGACAATCGTGGGACAACATTGTTTTACTGAAGTGCATGGTAAAAATCTTTAAAACATTGTATTGTACCACAATCACCATATTTTCAGGGTAAATTTTAAAAGAAAATTCTCTCCGTGTAGTATCAAAAATATGTAATATATGTATACATATAAGTATATATAGATAATGTGTAAAATATATGTATATGTAACAAATATATTTATTAGAATGTTTTATTTTGAATAATATGAACGTGCAGAATGTATAATTTAAAGAGATCATACATATATTGTATATGTGTATATTGTAAGAGATCTTATGAGTATAAAAGCGAAAATTATTTATAATTAATTATATATGAAACCTCAGCAGTACTAACTTCTTAGTCCGACGATTGTCTGATTGCATTCGGACTGTGGATAAGTCTCTGCAGCCAGACATAATTAAGCCCTTTACGATAAGACAAATAAAAACTTTCTTCCTCATCAAAAGAATCACAGAATTTGGTGAAAAATAAGGTTATATGAGAGTAATTACGTCAGATAAATATATTATTCAATAGAAGCATCATTCAATGGAAATCCAATTTTTTTTTCTAGATGATCATTTACACACTGTGTATTGCCATTTTACATTACTAGTTTTTTTCTACAGAATATGTATTTCGTTTAATCATGCTTGCCTTTATCCAGAATTTGTGCGTATTACGGATAACTAAATTATCTGAAAGTGTTCTAGTCATATTATAATTATTGCATTATTCACTCGTTATTTTACATTGTATTTTACATTGTATCACTTGTTTTTTAATGATCGAGATTAGCGTGTAAATTTGGTAAGTTGACAATTACGCTTGTGTTCCAAAATTTACTGCCAGAATTGAAATCTATAGTGCACTAACGTAAACTCGAGCGTAAACTATTATAGATTTTCAGTACTGGCAGTAAATTTTGGAACACAATCAACACGCGCACACTTGTGCATACATTATGAGCATAGACAATATATAATTGTTTTCTAGGAAATGTGCGAGCGGCAAATTCTATATAAAATGAAAATAGATACATATGAAAGTAAGAGTTACGTGCCTGCTGACACGACGTCGGCTGAACAAGAACGACAGTTCAGAAACACGTCACGACGATATCTTAATTTCACGAAAGTTTCGTGAGTGAATTGCGCCAATATTTTAAAAATCAAGTACGGTTCTTTTCACAATCTTTGATATTTTTAATTAAATTATTTAGACAGATCACATTTTAAAACAGTGTTCAGACAGGAAATATTCAAAACGAACGAAGTAACAGTTTCTAGAACAAAGTTTTTCTACAATTTAAGTATCCGTTTTTACAATTTTATCAAAAAGTGGAAGTGATGCAATGTACCACGTGCAAGTAATTGTTATTGTCCAACATATCATCGTCTTTCGTATTTTCTTTATCTGCTATTTACAAGATAAGAGTAAAAATCTATACACAATATAGTATAATAGACGTAATAAGCGAATGATAAGAACACGGTCGAAAACGATATTACTCAATGTTGCATATGTGATAATTATTTTCATATTCTTCAACTTTCGAATGAGAATAATAATAAAATTTTATTTTAAATTTGATAAATATTAAGAAAAGAGGAGCCACCTTCAATGACTTTGATCTTGATATACGGTATCAAGGTCGTGGCTCTGAGTGACCTCCAAGAGTTAATTGGCGGTTGGTATTCGTTAAAAAATTATTAATAATAGAGAAGTTTAAGACATATTATCTTATTTCTAGTATATGTATATATGTACAATATTCAATACTACCTTACACCCTTTATTTATGGGGCATAATGACTTTCCACGCAAAGCGAGGTCCCCCCCATCTCTCCTACTTAAGGGCGACCGACTTTCCACGCGAAAGGAGATCCATCTTACCCACCTCCCTGCCTAAGGGCGCACGACTTTCTACGAGAAGCAAGATATCCGCTAGGGTTACCAACTGACCGATAATGAACCGGCCTGGCGGGATTTTTATTCTCCGGCCAGTTGCCGGTACATATATCTTACCGGCCATTGACTTTGGTCAAATTTCCGGTCAAATTTGAAGAGAATCATACAAATGATTATGACGATTCCATGCAGTAATGGAACGTATCTTTAGCATTATGAATAATTTACGGACAGATGATCGCAACCGACTATGGATATGGTCAAGGCAGAAATTTGCGTGAATTTGAATGAATATTAAAAAAACATGTTTAGAATTCCACGCTGCATATACTGGCCATCCTACATTGATGGCTGCTGCCAAATCAGACAGAAAAAAATATTTTAAATAAAAAAGTAGACTGAGGGTGGCGTCCTATGAGCGGAAATTTACAGCGGAACGGAACAGCAAGACCGCAATCACAATCGCAGAAAAGAAAGCAGAGTAATGACTGCAGAGTTGTAATTGGTCACGCTGTTCCGTTCCGCTATAAATTTCCGCTCCATGGGATGCTAGCCTAAGTATATTTCAGCTATGTTTATTTAATGTTATATTTTAATAAATAAAGTTTATAATTGTTTTTACTTAATTACACATAGTTTTATTCTGAATTATACACCTCCGAAATCACATTATAAATAAGGGTTATGATTATGGTTATGATCGGTAAAAATCGGTAATTTCATATAATCCGCGTGAATATATCAATAACTTTGAATTTTAAAGTTGGCAACCCTAGGTACCCCTCACCTCCTCTCCTCCTACATAGGGGCATTCCACGCAAAGTAAAGTCCACCCTATCTCTTCATCCTGCTAATAAGGGGCGTCCGACATTCTACGTGAAGCAAAATTCAACGCTCCTAAGCGGGGGGGGGGGGGGG